CCAAAGCATTTCGAAAGATGGCTCTTGTAACTCAGCCAGAACAGTGAAATTGATCGTATCCTTGATGTACATACAAACACCGCCGTGTTCAGATTCGACTCTGTCCCTGCGAATAATATTAAACCCCTCTAAAGCAACCACGTTGTCATGAATAGAACTCCGAAGCCAGGATTCTGTGATGCAAATACAATCCAAATTTGCATTCTGAACAACATGGCGTAATTCATCGATCTTAGGAACCAAGGACATAACATTTTAGACCAAAAAAGATGGAACATAGGTCGACGACAAAACTCCTTGCAGTTTGGACCATTTTCCGAGCGGAAAATGAGAGGTTCCGTAACTTACAGTTCGGACCGAGAAACGAGGTAAGTAAAATATTTACTATATCTGTGGGTTCAAATTAAAGGGAAAGATTTGAATTGAAACACTTTTTAATTTAGTGGACCCCACCCTCGTTCTCAGGGCCTTTTCCCTTAGTTTGGGGTGGGGCCTGGGAGCGAGGTTGAGCGGACCCTAACAGTAAAATACGGCTCGTGAAATTGACCAATTAAAGCCCACATTCCAACTAAGATATATGATAAAACGGCCGTAATTTTAAACAGAACAAGTAAAAACCAATTGATCGAAGGAGGTAAACATTTTGTTTTTGAGAAAAAGGAACAATTTTCAAAGATTACAAGAATTTCTGTAAACGGGGACAGCTCACAATAATTATTAATATCCAAAACGAATATTATCTAGCTATAACAGTCTGTATTACATCTTGTTTGTAAGCATCCCAGTTGATTCTCTCTTGGAGATTTCTTTGCAGCGTCTCTCTTGAAGGGTAAGACCGCACCTTTAAAGTAAGCGGGGTATGTTTTAATCTTTTATTGCTTAAAATATTAGACGGATGTGTTCAATTCATTCATTTCACGACCCTTCAAGTATGCAATGCTTCATTAACGTCGCATTTAAGTAAATAAAGTGTCGCACGGCAGTAACGATTGCAGAGTTTTCTATCTTTTTGATCATAGAGTCGAAACGTAATTCAGGACTGCACCAATTTTTCTATGATATACTCTGTATTAATTTTTAGAAAACCCCCGCAATCTCCTCAACCAAACAACCACGATTCAGTGTTTCGTGCCACTTGGGCTTAAAACCCTTTACCTCCCAAGATCCGATTGATAATTCTCCCTCTAGCTGCCACACATTTCCTTGTAATTCACTTTTAAAAATTTGATGTTAGATCAAGATAACGACTTGTACCTGATAACTTTGAGTATTCTCAATACCTGTTTGCTGGATAATGTGAGGACATTACAGGGAGAAGTTACATGCCAATCACTTCTGGGACTGAAAGGTCACGTTTACTATGGGCTTTGTATTATGAGACTTAACCGAAGTGCATCCTATAATTCACTAATCGAAGTTCTAACGGGACTGATAATTAAATTTGATAGATGATGTTTTGAACATAGTGATAAAATAGTACTTTATAATTACATTATGTCTGATCCAGTTTTTGGTTAGCTCGCTTGCTTGGCTTATGAAGAATTTCTTAGAAATCATAACGCATTCAGCTCCTCGACTGACCTGAAATCAAGGACAGAAAGTGTTATCTAGAATTTCCTGTTTGAGTTCACAGAATGAAAACTAAGAAGGGCTTTCATTGTTCCATTCCGGTTTTAAACCCTGGGCTTGAAAAGCTTGATAGGGAGTATGTCCGTGAGGTAAGAGAGAAAATAAGAGTGCCATGAACGAAAAAAAAGGAGTTGAGTTGAAGAATATAATTATATAATCATGACAGACATCACTCAGTCACGGTGATAAAGAAGACTTTAAACTTAAGCATTACTGCAAAGGTCTGGCTACCGCGGGTAATAAGTCGTTTCGACAAATCCTACTGATAAGTGGACTGTTTCCAAACAAATCGCTGCAGCTCATTTTCTCTCTGCCATCACTACACCATTATTCTGAACTGTTGAAATTTTATATCTTGCTTCGAGGACAAAGTTTTTTTGTGGAAAGAAGATTTTGATTAGAAATCTCAGCAGAGAATGTCATCCAAAAGACACTGATTCTATTACTCTGCCCGTGAGAATTAAGAAATCTCAGAGAAGAACTAATTCCACTGTAGAATAAAGGAAGGGGGGGGGGGGGTGAGAATCCAATTGCCAGATTTTGTTTTGTTGTTTGCTTGTTCATTTTATTCTCACACATACCGTATTTCCTGGAATAAGTGCCCATGCTCTAATAAGCACCCTTCCCCGGAGAAGCGCTCCTCTCGAATAAGCACCCCCCTTTCTCTCACTTTCTTAAATACCACGAATACAACGAAAACTGGTTTCTATTCATAGCATTTTAAGTTTCAACTGCAGCAGAAACAGCACAGGATAACAGTTTCTTTTGCATTCTAGTTATTTCTATCCCCATTTGCTTGCAGAGTTCCTTTGAGTACGATATCCATTCTTTTTTCACCTTTATCCTGCTACTGTGCCAACTGAATAAGCTCCCCCCTTGATTAATTGCCCACCATTCAATAAATAAGTGCCACTCCTTTTAGCTGAAATTTAAAATGGGTGCCAAGGCACTTATTCGAGGATATACTGACACTGGCTTGCTGAAGAAGTTGGAAATCTTCATCAAAATTAGGAAGCGTTGACAAACCCTTGAAAATGGGAACACGAACAAACACAAATAGTGAAGTTTTAGTGGAATGAGGAGCACAATGTAGAAGTGAGCAATGAAAAAAACTGGAACTCACGACCGACTGTTGTTTACAATAGAGAAAGATAAGCTCTTCTCTTTAATACTGAGATGTCTCGCATATGATGAATATGACATCTCTAGACAAATAACTAAGTTAAGAGTGAGTGTGATTGGTGTTACTATGATAATGAGGCACACCACTTATCTACAAGCATATAAGATAAATGGAGTAGAACTTGTTAAAACATTAAATGCAAGGAGCCGTCAAAACCTGCTAGCTGTAAAGAAGCAGCATGGGTTGAGTTGAACTGGCTCGGAAGTATATATAGAGAAATAAATCCGACTGAGAGGCAGATGGTGGATAAAAACTTCTGAGGTATTGTTTACTGCGCCATACATGGCTGCACTCTTATCTCTCTGTAGTTAACTTAGCTTGCATCCTTTCCCTTGCCAATCAAACAAATGGCTCTTAGTCACTTAGTAAGACTTCCTCATGGACTGTCTAAGACCTTCTGGCCACGATACCGCGGTAAAAGAGCAGGACGTCTCGTCAAAGATAGAGGAAACGATCGTTACCATCTGATCAGTGTTGCTCAACCACGGGATCCTAACCGTGTTGCTACATTAACAAGACTTCACCGTTCCCGAAACCCAGCGAACTTGATATCAGTCACCATATCCCCCGCAAGCCCAAAAATGCACATGTCTAGATCAATAATAGCTGAACATCTTACATTATACCATTTTAATGGAAAGTCTATGGAAATTTCCCTGCACATGTCTAGATCAATTAAAGCTGAACATCTTACATTATATACCATGTTAATGGAAGGTCTATGGAAATTTCCATGCACATGTCTAGATCGATTATAGCTGAACAGCTTACATTATACCATTTTAATGGAAGATCTATGGAAATTTCCATGCATGCGTCTAGATCATTAATAGCTGAACATCTTACATTATACCAAGTTAATGGAAGGTCTATGGAAATTTCCATGCACATGTCTAGATCAATTATAGCTGAACATGTTACATTATACCATTTTAATGGAAGGTCTATGGAAATTTCCATGCATATGTCTAGATCATTAATAGCTGAACATCTTACATTATACCATGTTAATGGAAGGTCTATGGAAATTTCCATGCACATGTCTAGATCAATTATAGCTGAACATCTTACATTATACCATTTTAATGGAAGGTCTATGGAAATTTCCATGCACATGTCTAGATC